TTTATCCCATTTTGGGCTATAAAATGGCACCCAAATCCTCTCATTTCACACACAATTCTTCAACATTTCAATACTCTTTCATTGCATAAGCATTCCTATTTTTTCTTAGCTATTTGAGAGCCAATTCTTGAAGAAATTGTCGTGTTCTTGAGCGTTTACTAGTTCACTCATATCTACTCTTTGTGAGAGTTTTATCCCTGAGTGTTTAAGTGTTTTCATACACTTTAAGGGAGGTTGTTCCCTTGTTGTAAACTCGAAGGAAGTTCCTTGTTCCTTCGTGAGAAGTCTTGGAGTGCGGTATCTCCGAGCAAAGGTGTTGAGGCTCGTGTGACTCGGGTTCTCAAGTTGTATCGGTTTGTTAAGCACCCTTAAGCTTAACGGAGTTAGTGTAGCTCGAGAGAGTCTCTCGGGGGGCTGGATTAGCCACACGTTGTGGTGAACCAGGATAAAATCCGGTGTGCTCCTTCCTTACGCTCTTTACTTTAACGCTCTCGTTTTAATTTCCTGCGATTTTGTTTTAAACGCTATTGACCCCCCCTCTAGCGTTGGGCCTTTATTCTAACAATTAACAGATTAGAGATAGTGTGCTATATCAGCTTCTTTGTCCCAAGCACACAAAGAAATGACAAATGATAGAGAGGTTCTTACAGCGCCTACTGAGCTATAACAACCCAACTTGCAAAATCCGAAAACCAAGGCCAGCTTACCGAGTTGTTACTAAATTGGTATCCAAACATAACTTAATTTCAATAAAATTTCAAAAACATTTAATTCAAACTTAAATATCCATCTAAGTAATTGAAAACATTGCGGAAGCCTTTAATAAAATCTCAAACTTGGGAATCAAACTTATAAAAATAATATGTGCTTTAAATAGTAATTAATAATTCAAATCTTCAAACACATCCACGCACATCTCTTCGTCCACAATGCCCTCTTGGATTGGCTCTAGGTTCATCATGATTTGGATTACTTACGTGCAAGAAAATAACAAACGTACATGCCCAGCATTGAAACTAAGTAAGAATATCTAACATACAATTTTATGAATAGATGACCTCACTAATTCATAACATCACACGATATGATGCATATAACACAACATAGCAGCATCACAAACATTAAAAAATAATAAACATTATCATAATGCAAGCTAGTATATTCTCTTTACATTGGTCATCTAACTTACATACTTACTGGGCTTATAACCTATTCTAGGTTAAGGCTTATACTAACTATAACTTTCTTATTGGAGTCATGACCTTCCTTACGGAACGAAGATCAGGCTCAACCAACTCGGGAGTTCCTCGTTGGATGAGTGAGATCCCTATCTCCTTTGGAACGACAGTTCATAGGTCCCGGTGCGCACATTTGTACCCAAATAGCCATTGTAGCCAGCAGGTACCACATGCCTCTAACCTTTCTGTACTTATGGCATAACTTAATTGTATTCCGTTCAGGTCAGTCCTAGTGTTCCTCTCGATATGTATTACTTAATTGTTACCTTACCATTCATAATTGCATAACATATACAATAAGCATTATCATATCTAACATAACCAAATATGATCAAACATTGGTCTAGCATTGGGTGTGAACACCCATGCTAATCACCATACAACATATATGAAGTTTCAGAATAAATCCTTAACGGGAACACAGACTTATCGACGAAGCATCTGTATCAGGCGGTACGTGTGTACTGGCACGGTACTTGGGTACCGTCAACGCGGTACCTGGCATCGGCTAGAACAGAGTCCGCCAGCACCAGATGGCCTGTGGCGGTAGCCAGCTAACGTCTCGATGGTAGGGCCTACTGTTCGTCCGGTACCTAAGTACCGAACGGTCGTAGGTTCCGCTAGAGAATTTTGGATTTGTTTCAACATCAATATGTTCACAAACCAATTTCTAACTATAACCAGCTTACTATGTTCAGGCCATGCTTATTCTGTTGGACATGAGTTCAAACCCCTTTATTATTTTCTCTGGAATATTTTTTGTTTTGATAAATGACAAACAGGATGATGAAATTCAAACGTTGATCGAAAATTTACTTTTCGTACCGAGAAAAGAAAAGAGGCGTATCAAGAAGTTTACGGCGATAAAAATTTGACAATCACCCCTACGCAGATTTTTTTAAGTGAAGTGAAGACTCCGAAGACTTTTTTATTTTTTAATTAAGTCTAGGAATCTTTGTAAGGATGACAATTTTGTTGCACAAACAAATTATTTTTGAGGGATAAAAATTATTATTTTTTGAGTCAGTTGAAAAATTACTTTTCCTCTGTCTAAAATATTTTACTGAGTCAGTTTCAAAATAAGTGTGTCAAAATTTCTTAAAAACATTTTTTTTTGAATACACAATTTTTTTTGGTAAGAAAAATATACGTTAAATATTTTTTGTGTTCATTGTTTGACACACAAAATAATTTTTGGACTCTTTTTCTCCCCTATTCAAATTCATTGAATAAGGGTTATAAATGATCGTGCATTGATTCCAGTTGTCTCAAACAATCGTATGAAGCCAAAGGCTTCAATCGCAAATTGGCTTGGGCCCTTTATGTTTGCACGATATTTTGAATTTAATCGATTTTCTCTTCCTTTTTAATCGATTAATAGACTTCTAGTTGGATTCCCAGAATCGACCAATAATCGATTAATTTCCTTCATTTAATCGATTAGTTTGGGCAGAGCAAACTAATCGATTTTTCGTTTCAGTTTAATCGATTAGTTCCAATTTTGTTTTCAGGCATTCTCGCCTCTGTGTACCGTAATCGATTTAATTATCCATGTTAATCGATTAATATTATCTGGTGCATATCATCAGCTCTCTTCAATGGCTTTTTTTTTCCTCAGCCTATTTAATCCCTCATTCTCCTTCATTTCTACACACCTCTTGCACTCCAATATATTTCTTTGAGCTATTCATCCTTTGCTTCATCTTCCTCATCAAAATATTATTTTTGAGAGTTAGAAATGTTTTTTCTTTGAGTGCTATAGAAGTTATCATCCATAGAGCTTAAATATTTCAACACTACTTTGCTCAATTGTGTGAGCTTTCATTCTTGTGTTGTAAACTCAATCTCATTTGAGTGCTGTTCTTAAGACTTGTGTGACTCAAGTCTTGTTGCTGTAAGAAAGTGAGGCTTGTGTGATTCAAGTTCTCAAGTTGTACCGGTTTTTCAAGCACCCGTTGAAGCTTGAAGATTAGTAGGACTTTCGAGAGAGTCTCTCGGAGGACTGGACTAGCCACGAGGTGGTGAACCAGTATAAATCCCGGTGTTCCTCTTTCCCTTACTCTCCTTACTTTTTCCTGCGATAATTTTTACGAAAAACGTACATTCTTGAAAACAACTCTATTCACCCCCCCCTCTAGAGTTGCACATTTGTCTAACAATTGGTATCAGAGCAGGAAGTTCCTCGAATACGTTATTTTTTTCAGGAACTAAAAGATCAAATGGCATCAAGAATGTTCAACGCAGGAGTGACCGAGGGACAATCAACCACGAGGCCACCTTTGTTCGAGGGAACAAACTACTCATATTGGAAGGAGAGGATGAGAATCTTTATCCAATCCAACGACTACAAGCTATGGTTGATTGTGAAGAACGGCTGCGGAGTCCCGATGAAGAAAGTCGGTGAAGTCAACGTTCCCAAGACCGAAGAGGAGTTCACCGACGAAGATTGCAAAAAGATGGAGCTCAACGCAAAAGCAATAAACATGATTTATTGCGGTGTTAATGCGGATGACTACCGCAAAATTTCGCGGTGTGAAACCGCAAAACAAATGTGGGAGAAATTGGAGGTCACCTACGAAGGAACCGCGCAGGTTCGGGA